AAAAAAAAGTAGCTTATAATCCCCTAATGTACTTAAATAAAGCCTTCAATAGTTCAAATTGTTATTAAACATCTTTTGGGATTATAATTTTATGTTGCTTTTTTTTTTTTTGCCTGATTAGATGATGAACGTGAAGATCATCAAACACTCATCATGTAACAAACTAATTACATTGCATAATCCCCAAAATGAGGTTTGAATCCCAACATTTTAAATTAACCTGGATTTAAAATGTGCAGAGAATTCACAATGAGTGGACAAAATACTTGAAAAGACACCCCCCTAAACTCCCTGCTCCTAAACAGTTTTAAACAGAAAGGTACAATTCCTGGGACAAAACCATACTATGGGTTGAAGCAGAAACTAATCCTGTTGCCACAATTAAATTTACACAGATCTCGTTGTAGGCAATATTTTTTTTTCCTTCCCTTCCTCCAAGCTTTTCCTTTATTTCGCAATCCCTGCTGAGGGCTATACATTACAGCGAGGAGATCTGCTTGAAAAATGGTGGTGAGATGTGATCCCTGAGTGTAAAGTGATCCAAGAAATAATAATAAAAAAAAAAAAAAAAGAGGGCCTGCAAAATTTTGCCATGCTGCAGCACACCCTGGAATTACCCTCAGGGCAACCTTGTGGAGCCCAGCTCCTGCACAGCAACGCTTTGCCCCAGCCCCTCTGATGGCATTCAATGTTCACCTGATGCCTCCCCACAAACCCCATCTAATTTGGAGCTCAGCTTCCACAGACTGGGGACATCCTCACCTCTTCACCAAACTATTAGTAGCCTTTTTTTTTTTTTTTTAAATAGTAAAAGGCTGCGCCTCGCACTTCAAATTTATGGCAGTTCCCTCAAAACAGATTTCACAAACATCAAAATTTACAGGCTGGTGTAATAACCTACCACCATAAATTTCAACAACACCTATGGCTTGCCTAACTAATGGCCAACCGAGGCAGCTATTCTGATGCGGATATGAATAAAACTTCAGTCAGAATAGCAACGGTTAAAAAATAAAAACTGTGAAGTCTTAAGTGTAAGTCTGGCTACCACTTCTCATATTGTTTTAGCTTATTTTTGTTGTTGCTATTCTCAGGGGGAAGAAAAGGAAGGCAATTTGGATGAATTTATCCCCTGAAGTGTTTCAGAGCATACTGCCTGTGTCCACAGAGGACAGCGCTTGCCTACCCTTTGGGCATACGTCAACTCAGCTCTGCACATCAGTCAAAATAATGGGGGGCTGCAGCATGACACTGAGCCGGAGCTATTGCCCAAACAGTTCAACAACCGGAGAGGCTACGGCCTTGCATTTGATTTTTTCTTCAATAAAGAAAAAAGAATTTCCTCCTAAGTGGAAAATGAGAACTAAGTGACAAACCTTAGGAAATGAAGTCAGTACACAGAGGAAGGCTTAATAGTCTTTGGGATGAAATAACTGCATAGGAGGAATTAAACCAGCCTATACACTTTTAAAAGATTGTATTAGACCTACATTTATTTTAAATCTTTCCAACCATTAATCATTAGTATGACAGACACAGCAATTACTGTCTATTTTGTTTAATTCCATGCCACTGATGTGAATTAATATTATAATTGTGAGAAAAATCCTTTGCCCCTGGAAAGGAGGGCTCCCAAATAACAGCACCGTTAGGAATTACCAGTGGTCAAGGGGATGCTGCATTTTGCCTTTAACCACTGCTCGTTGCCTCCCTGCCATTTCACAGATGGGAAAGCGAAGGCAGGTTAAGCACTGGGGGTAAAAGGGAGAGATCGTCTGCCATGACATGTCCCTCGCCTGTACAGAACCACCTCCCAGCTCTCCTCCCCTCCTGCTTTAAAGGGGACCTTGTGTCCAACCTAGGGAAGACTAACAATCGATCTCACTAATTATCAATCAATGAATAAGTGACAGGGGATCTCTGGTTTCCTCAGCTGACCATTCCTCGGGGTGACCTCCCTCCTGCAGTGAAGCCCAGCTGGGGACACCATCACCCCTGTCTTCGGGGATATAAGAGCAGTCACAGGGCCCAAAATCAAAAACGAACCAGAGTCTTAATTTCCTCAGCCTCTCAGCCCCTGCTCCTGTGACCTGATGGCAGCCACGACTTGGGCCTGGGTGTGCAGCAATCATCGGGTTTCTTTCTACGTGGCCAAGCAGCAATTCCTGCACTTTTTAAAGCCACTGACAGCAACGTCTGACAGTGGTTGCAACACATCTGTCCCAGGCTGCCAGCAGAGACATTTACAGCCAGGTGAGCACCGAAGATCTGCCTGCCTCCACCCCAGGAAGCCCTCATGCTGCTGCTGCAGAGTCTGGGCCCTCGTGTGGGCCTGTGGGGGCACCCCCACCGCCTGCTAGACCTTCACACGCTGGGTTTTTGGCAAGGGCAGCACCCCAAGCAGCTTGCCTGTTCAACACACTGGCTATGGTGCTGGCTCTTCCCTGTTATCGGCATGCCTGCTGGAGGACACCTTCCTCCCCACACAAGCCTCACTGCTCTTCTGAGGGCACGAGTTCTCTGGTGGCTTCGCAGCCTACGAGGTTGTCCGGCCCTGCTTTCATTTTAACTGTCCCTGACCCCACAGAGAATCATTTCGAAAGGCCTGTCCCAGGTCCTAGCAGAAGGTTGGGCTTGGGTGAGTGAACCAATTCTGCTTTGCTGGATGGATCGGACAAGCCTGGAGCTACTCTGCTGCTGCCACAAGAAGCTGCCCTGCAGTAAAGCTGTGTGCTTCACCTGGCTGGGCTTGGACTGTACAGGGGATGGTGGATTTCGAAAAACAAGCTTTAGCTCAGTGCTGTAAGGTAGAAAACGCAGTGGCTTCACTGCACAGGTCCTGGAGGTTCAGTGTCTGAGCTTTCCAGAAGGGCCCACCTTACAAGCAGAAAGTTGTCCCAGGTGGCTCCAAAGGACACCCACCACCACCACAGCGAGCTCCATGGGCACTCTCATTTTCTCTTTTGCACAGCATTACTGCACAGCAAAAGCGGGAAAAGCTGCTTCCATTCTACACTTAATCTGGACAAAACGGGGTCTGTTCTCTGGTCCTCATGCTGTTCAGGATGCCAGCTGCATGGTCAGGGGAAGCCCGGGCTCCTTCCACAAAGGCTTTCAGGAGTCACCCCTGCTACCTTCTGCCCTGCTCCCAGGAGTAGGTTTTGAGGGTGGTAGCTGGCCTGGGCTAAGAGCATGCCAGAGACTGCTCAAGCAGTTTGGTGTTACAGACAGTAACGTTCCTGGCCTGGGGGGTGTTTAATTTACCAGCACAAACACAGCAACAGGCCGCTTCCAGGAAAACTTACTATGAGTATTAACAATAGTAACATATACTACTTAATTCACCTTTCCTCAGCTGGGAAATACAGGGACTGATGTGCTGTTGCTCAGTGTTCCCTGGCACGCCTCGTTGTCACTGTCCTGACTGCAGAGCTTGCAGGGCATCTCCTCACACCAGAACCTGAACTAGCTGCATCACGCTGGCCTGAGCATCACTGCTGGCACAGCATCTCTTTGGGGATGGACTGTTTTGTAGGGTGTAGACGCCCCTAACCCCACATCTACCTTCAGAGAGACACCGGGCTGTCAGCTTGAATTGGGACAAGACCTAGGATTGAGGAGCCACCGTGTCTGCGCCAAACCAAAGGGGACCTGGGCCTTTGGGAGTGCTGCACTGAAGGCAGCAGGGACAGGGCTAAGGAGCTGGCAAAGCTGAGGCACAGCTGATGCAGAGCCTGGGATTAACTTGGAGACATCTGAGGCCCTCTCCAGCCTCGGAGGAGGAGTGCTCAGGCACGAAGGTTCATTCATAGCAAACCGGGGCTGCATGGGGCAGGATTCCCTGCCTGATCCCCGTGCTGACAAGAGTCACGGCAGATATCTGGTTTCTTGGCGCAGCGGGGGACAGAAGGGCAAGCTGCGTGAGCGCTTCCTCCACATCAGGAGCATGCCCTTGGCTGGGCTCCACCGGGGCTGGGCAAGTTGGCCGGCTGCTGGCTTCACCCTGACCCTATCTATGGGCTGGGGGGAGAGTCAAACTGCTGAGATTAGAGGCCAGAGCTGTTCTTCACTACTGCCTGCAGACTGCAGGCACCCCACGCCTGGGCCTTATCCTGCTGGCACAGAAAGGCAGACAGAAAATCTCCAGCCAAAGGCTTAAATCCCCGTAGTGGATGAAAACAGTGTCAGATCACCATAATTTGATGAAAAAGAAGAATGGCATTAGAAACACTTTTCTAAACGCTAACATTAGTAGGTGTGGTACACAATATAAACTCTTTAAAGAAGCTCCAGCATTCAGCTTAACCCTGCACACCTGTCCAGAGCTTTTTATTTCTAATCCCAGAAATAAATACAGGTAGCTGTGGCAACAGAAATAGCTGCTCATCCCCCCACCCCTTTATGATGTTAAGTACAGTGGTAACTTACACTCTGGGAATGAGAACGTCTCACCAAAAAAAAATTATACTTTTCTATTAAACCAGATACATTCAGACCTTTCATCATGAAGCTTCTAACTATGTTCTGACAAACATCTGAATAAGGTCTTTGTTTTCTTGTGCTTTGTTTTTAAAGCTCCCCAATTATTTGCTGCGGCTCTCTGGAGCACAGACCCAGGGCCCAAAAGCTGCTCTCTGCTCCGAAGCAGCATTTCCCACATCAGCGAGTGGGAGCTGCAGCTGTGCAAGCAGCAGGGCAGGACAGGTCTCCGAGGTTATTAGTATAAGCTCAGTCACACTTTGCGGTGATGTCCTGCTAATAACTGCGACTCGAACCAAAAATCTAAAAGCAACACACACAAAAAAAAACCACCCCAAAACCATAACATCATACGCTCCATGCTCTTCCCCTGGCATCTAGCAAAGAGGCAACAGCTCTGCTCGGAAATGTTCCCTGAGCTGCCTGTCAGTAACACAATACGTATTTTTGCTTTCTACGACTACTACAACTATGACATTTTCCATGTTTTATTTTGCATATGTGATCTAGAGTTCACTTACTGTTAGATGCTGGAACAGCCATGCCCTCATGATATTTGTGGCTACTTTGGGAAAGATGCCACGCTTTTTATGTCGCTTTTTGTCCTTATCTGGATCATCATCATCACCTGTGCTGGGGGAAGCTACACTGTTGTCCAAGCCGTCACCTGTAAATATAGTGAATCAAATTTTGACTTATGCTACCTTTATATACTTCAGCCGAAGCCTGGCTTTGGGTATAAACTGCATGAATATTTAAATGAGGTATAAATTCTTTAACACTGTAATTCACCAGGGGTTTGGGGACGGGGGGGAAGAGACATGGGGAGAGGGAGGGTCTCAGGACTGTGTCCGCCCAGTTCTGGATTACCCTGAAAGACAGTGCAGCCATTCCTGCCACTGGATTCAGCACTGTAACCCAAAACCAAAAAAAGAAAAAAAAAAAAAAAAAAAGAAAAAAAAAGATTTTTTTTTTCTGCAAAGCATCCTGCTTGCAAAGGTGGAAAAAAATGGCTTTTCTTCACACTGGGTCACTTCCCAAAAATTAATCCCCATCAGCTATTTTGGCTGAGGTGGCAATTAGAAAAGCATCAATGGCGTCCCATACCCATGACATGTGCGAAGCTGGGTGCCGCGTCCCGCTCTGGGATGTGAAAAATGGTGTGAATGCAACTTTCTTGCAACATCATATTCTCTTCCCAAATTCGGTAACAACCACGGGATTGGTCCACCACTTAAGTCTTTTCTAGACGTCCAACGTACCCTGGCTTTTTGATGGGACGTGGGTAGCTAACTGGCCTCCCCTCCGCCCAGCCCCAGCCTAAAGCAGTTCATACTGGGATAAGTAGGTACCAATTTGACACACATCATAGGAATTAACACCCGGCTTTGTGCTGACGCGCCACATCCGTGCAAGGTGTCTGATCCCGTTAAACAACAACTGATCCAAAATGAATTTCCTTAATGCAGAGAAGGTCTCAGACACTTCTCATCACATTAGCAGCGTGTCTACAGGAGCACGTAACTGCATAGCAGCCAACTTTGGTATGGGCTGATGGGCTAGCAGTGAGAGGAGAAAAAAAGTTGCGGTGCCCAGCCAGTTTGCATGCAGTTTTTGTTTCAAACCCTGAAAGCAGTTTATAAACAAGTCCACATAGAAATTCAGTCTTTTCATTCCCTGCATGTGGATTGAACCATGTAGCTTGGCTTCTAAAGACACCGCATTTGTAGCAGCATGGAGTTGTGATGTTATTAGGCAAGTGGTTTTTACACCCCTGGGCAAGGATGATCAAGAAAGTCATCTGAATTAGGCTGAATCAAAACTATCTCTGTTAGCGATCAAAAAAACCCACCACCACCAAAAAAAAAAGTATGTAGACTGTCAAAATTATGATTTGTTAAACAGCTTTCAGCACAAAAAAAGTTATTATTAGCATTATATTTTTAGTACCGTACTGACTGTGGCAAATTTATAATTATCCTTATGACTTGGCCTGTGTCTTTAATGATATGGTAACCTTGAGTAGTTATAGAAACAAACAAGATTTTTATGAAGAAATCAGATATCCGATAAATTCTTTGAAAGCCCAGTATGTAAAAAAGGGCTTTTATACAGAGAAGCAATTCACCACATAAAATAATAATTCATAAAAGAAACATGAGCAAAGGAAACAACTCAACAGCATTTAAAATTCCACGGGCTAATCCACTTTCTGTCTGAGAGAGGCAAACAAGGAAAAGAAAAGTATTACGCATTCATTGATTAAAAATGAAAAGCTTCTAACCTAATGACACTGCCTTTCACCACCTCCCTACAATTGTCCCCCCCCCCCTTTTTTTTTAAATACACTCTCTCCTCATTTCAAACCCCCTTCAGATTAATTTAGCAGGCATTGCCTCGTGCCTGACGGGAGGAGGACTCATTGATAATTTATGGAAATATCTACTATAATCCAAGGGAGATGACTTTTTTCCAGCTTTGTGCATCAATAGATAATCAAGGCCTTAAAGCAGCCTGAGCTTCCCATTACCTCGGGCAAGAGAATTCCTGAAAGCATGCCTCCGGGGCACCTGAATTATATCCTCCATTAGGGGAGGAAAAGCTTTCTGCATTCCACCTATAACACTCCCCAGAACCTTTCCTGTTTATTTCTGCTGTATGAAAGCAGAAGCATTAGGAACAGGATTTTTTAAGTGAAGACTTATGTAGATACAATGGAGAAACCTTTCAAGCGCGAGCCAGATCACCTCCTTCAATCCCTGGCAGTGACCTATCCCAAATAAAAGGTTTCTGTTACATCATTAGCTCAAGCCAAAAACAGCCTTGGCTTAATGCACAGTTTGTTCTTCCTACTGTTTTTAGGCAAATACTGCTACTTTACTCCCATCTGGGAGGGAAATTACACTGCTGGGTTGTAATCTAAGACAAGATTTTCATTGGAAGCAAATGCTTTCAATCCAGTGTAAATACTGGTGCATGTTCAGAAAAGCCTAAAACAATAAACCCTGGCCCCGTCCGACCCAAGTCAGAGAAAGTGAAAGGGAGGGAGTGTATAATAAAGCGCCCGGCTATCCTAAAAGCAAATTCTTCAGTAGACTTTTATAAATTGTTTAACCTCTTCCACTTTTTTAAATTGAAAATTGATCCTGTAAGGACTAAACCACAGAGAGAAGTCTAAATGGTCAATTGTGGATTTTAGTATTTCCATCTACTTTGCAACTTGATATGCTCACCTCTGTGAGGTCTCCAGAGATCCACCCCCTTCCCCTTTTCTTCCCCCCTCTTTCCAAAGATCACTAAACAAACTTGAAGAACCACTGACCAGCCACACGGTAGCAGCTACGAACCACATTTGTAAAATGTCAGCAGCGACTTTGTTCCTGAAGTTGACTTCTCCTGCCGCCAAATGAAGGCGAACTGAAAAGGTGGAAATAATCATAGAAATGATGCTAGTCCATAAACAAGCTTACAGCCTCATTAGTATAGCGGGAGGCTCCGCTGGGTGATTTATGCTTGTTTTGCTGATGCCATGAGGAAATGCCATAGGGCAACTTTAGCCAGCTGCTAATGGTTTCTGACAGCTTCTTAGCAACTAGTGCAAGCAACGCCGTGGCGTTTGCTAGTGACAGAAACCGAAAATGTCATATTATCTGCCCATGTGTCACCAAGTCCGTGTGGCAATTAACTAGTAGGCCAGTGACTGAGGGGCCAGAGGCTCTTAAAAATGGCCCGTGGCTATTCGGGGGCAGAGCAGGCGTGCTGCTCGCATTTGCGCTGCACATATGCACGGCCCTAACGCGGCAATCTGGCCCTCGCTGCCTCGGCCTAGGCCACTGATGAGTTTGGTCCACTCGGGTCCTTTGTCTGTGGAGGAGCTCCCAGTTGCCTTCTCTTTAGGCACCGCCTGACATTATCAGAGGAACTGCAAGTAATCTGTCCTGATATGATCGCTGGCAATGGCGCTTTAATTGGCAATACCTGATTCTCCGGTTCTGAGCACCGAATCCAAAGGTGCTAGCTGTTTTTCTGCTCTCTCACAAATTAGTCTGAAAGGATTTAAGATCACTGAAGCAGACTCATTGCCTGTCAGGCTGCTGGGAGCGCAGCCGCCCTGCACAGCAACTAGACACTATTTAAAAACCACCGAGGCTGTAACAAGCAGGAGAAGAGCCTCGGCTCCACGCTCCGCTTTCCGAGCTATCAAAACCATGCGCTATATGTCAAACTGTCAAACCTTTCAGCGTGGCCATTCGCCCTTTCAAATAATATTTAAGAATTGTTTTTACTAAATTTTATAGGCCATGGTCTAGTGAAAGAGGCCAACCGACAAAGAAAGGAATTTGTACTACAATTCGTCCATGGACGATTTCTTGCGGGACCTGGGCCCGTCCCCATGGAGCGAGGCAGGTGACCTGTGGCAGCTCCCGGGCTGCCGGGCAGCTCGGATTTCAAACACGCTCCACTCAAACGTCCCACAGTTGCCTATTTAAGCACACCCAGGCATTTAGGCCGCGCTATCTTGTTCCTTTCAAGACGGGATAAAGCGGCATTTATCGTATTCAGGCCGCTGAATGGGTCAGGCCGGCCATGCCAGCAGGGGCTCCTCTCACTCACGTCCCCCTCCTCTCCGCGGTTGCCTCCTACAACTTCCCTTCCCCTCCCGCTCCCCAAAACTGGAGGCAGAAGCAGCAAAGGGCAACCGAGTTTATAGCGGCTCCTCCAGCCGTTAATGCTCTCTTTGTCACGGGTGATCTGCCATAAACCTTTGTTGGCAAAATAGGTACCTCTGGAGAGCAACGCTGTGCATGTGCTCGCGTCTATTGCTGGTCACTGTTGCAAAAATTAAGGGGCAACTGGAAAACTTCTCCCTGGGTTTCACACTGAACCAAAGCTAAACCTCAGGCCCTGCAGTGTTGGAAGGGCAGGGAGAATAGCATAGCTTGGTCCCAATTCCAGCTCAGGGAAGGCTGGAAATTCGGATGTCCTCATAACCCTGGCCTTTCAAACGCTTACACATGATGTGCTAAGTCTCTCTGATTTCATGGAAACTACTCACCTGCATCAAGTTTAAAATGCTCCCAAGGCTTTTTGAGGGTTTGGATCTGTCTGGGGTGGAAACGAGTGCCCAAACCCGCCAGCTGTGTGGCACAGGCAGTATGGTGTGTATGTGTATGCAACACAGCGTTACTCACAAACTGCCCTACCATGGTCTCCGCTCATGAGCAAAGGCAAGCAAAATTTGGCTCCCTGTCCATGACACATCCTAGCACACTCCTGACTTTAGAATTAATGTGGCTCTTCAGATCAACAACACCTTTCCTTCAAATCTGAGCAGCCAAGAGACAACTATCGCTGTCCCACAACGAATATCTTCACCAAATGGACGCAACAGGTTATTTCTCACAAGTAGCCCCGTCTCATGACCAATTCTGTATCTGCCATACAAATACTTTTATATCACAGAATAAATGTGACTCTTAAAAAGCCTGCTTTTTAAAAGTGAAGAGGTGTTTGGCCCACAGCAGTGGCTTGGTTTGCTGGGACAGGCTGAGAGGAGGGCATCGGTTTCACAGCGAGGCCTAGAGCGGCACGGCCCCCCAACCCACTTCACAGCTGTCACAGTCCACTTCTAGATAAGCATCTAAATCCATCGCTTTGAGGAGTTCA